GTTTCTTTGTTTTTTGTTTGCTTTTTCTTTTGTTGTTGTTGTTGTTGTTTGTTTTGTTTTTGTTGCTATGTAAATAGTCATAATGTCATAATGAACGGTTCCGGCATTTTTATCATAAAAACGTTATTTGTTAATTGTAATTGATTATTACAATACAGTACCCTACGTACTGTTAGAGGATATTAAGAGATTAGATAAGTGAACGTGCCCTCAGAAACATTCAGAGTCTTAATGTAAGCTAGCAAAGGAACAAAAAATGTCTTTTCAACCTTGCATTTGTCACATTAACTGGTCGTATTTTGTTTAGAACTAAACCTAATCGGGAAATTCGATGCTTCGGTGTTTGAATTTGATTTAAATATCTGTTACTTGGGACATTTGGTTATACTTAACGGCGAAACATGTAGGAAATTGACCTCTAATAAACCTAAATCGCGGGTGGTTGGTGGGTGCTCTGGTGTGGTTTTCTCCTTCTTTCCTATCAAATCTCTATCATCCTTATCTTGCCTCCTTCTTTTTTGTGTATGTTACTCTCTTGTAACACATCTAATTCTTCGGCACTTATATGACCTTATTGTGTTGCCAGTGCCGTAAAACTCTTACGAAAAAAACACAACCTAAATCGCCCTAAACCCTGATTCTGCTGTAAATACATTATTTATAATTGTAGTCTGAGGTGTTTTACACCCCAACGACACAATTTAGATCATCTTGTAGGCGTTTTCAATGTTAAAGAGGGATTCTGTCATGGCTACACACCTGACGTTTCAGCTCTTCAGTGACGTCCATAGAATCCTTGTCTTTGAACGGCTTCAAGATGTCGATCCTTTCATTCCACTCCTGTGCCCACATGTTACCTGGGTAAATAGGAACGAAGAATCCGGTGTCTTAACATGCTACAGATCTTCTGTCTTTACTTATTACCACAACAAAAAAAACACTCACACATTTGGAATCATTTGGAATGCTCGGTTGCAGTTTAAAACGTAACATATACCGAAGAACTTGCTCGCTACGGCCACCTACACACACACACACACTCACACACACACACACACACACACACGCACACACACAGACATACATAATGTGTGTGTAGATT